GTCTCCTTGGGCCAGAAGTCCTGCTGCTGACCGGCCATGTCCCCAGGGCCAGTGGGCTCAGGCCCATCCCACACCTGGTCCCCTCACAGCTCCCCCAGTCTGCTCCTGAGCAGGGTTAGGTGACTGGGCACCCCCTAGGACGGGTCTTCCCTGTGTCCACTATGCTGACCTGCCTCTCCCTCCTGCCTCCCACAAGCCCCGCCTGTCTTTGTGTCACCTCCCTGTCTACCACCTGTCTTCTTCTCAGGGCTCAATAAACTCAGTCTGATAACCTTTTCCCCTTCCTCTCTTGCTTGGGAGAACACAGGGTGGGAGCAGACCTCATTCTCCTCCAGCCAGGAGCATTTCTAGGAGTGAGTGACTTGGCCTGGAGATCATGAGGGACAGTGCCCTTGTCCCCTGGTTGGTTCACTGGTGGGACTCAGGGCTAGGCCCAGGAGGGCTCAGTCCCTGCCAGCCCCGAGCCCAGGTGAGAGCTGTCTCTCTCCCCTGGTTGAGGATGGGCCCTTCTCCCAGTGCCCCCCGCCCTGTGTGGCTCGCTCACATACTGACCGTCACTCGAAGGATTTCTTTCATCGCTTGTCACTTGGGGCTTCCAAGCATCACACCCACGTAGGAAAGCATCCTCTCTCTGGGTTCCTGGTTGGCCACTTCTACTGTGGAAGTGGAAGGAACCAGGTGTCCCCTCTGTTCTCAGCACTGCCAGATGTAAGAGGACCAAGCCAGGACAGTAGATTCTGCTAAACAGGACACTAATTTAAAGCTGAAGACCCCAGAAAGCTTTTCACTTCTGTAAAACGCAGGTGCATGGGATTGGCTTACAGCTTGACAGGGGCAAATTCTTGCTAAAAATAGATTAGTATACACACACTTATGCACACACCCTATTTTCCTATCTGAGTCACCTTTCAGGTTTATTCACCTTAATTGTGCTAGGCTAAGCAATAGGAATCTCAGTTGCAGATGAGTATAATTAAGTATACATTGTTCTTAAGTGACCCAAGTTGGAGAGGAAGGTTCAGAGTTCTGAGGTCACAACTGCGGCAGGCACTGTCCTTGCTTTCCTGCTGAATGCACATAACGCAATCCGCCCTCCGAAGGGTCACATGCACGCAGTTCAGTTCCTGGTCATTGATTTTGTGAGCACTAGAACGGGACATCAGCACCACCCACCTCCCAAGCTTTTCTTCTGGCAAAACCCAACCCTTAT